ATATGTCCCTGCTTTGCAAATGTGAGTTTATGGCGTTCCTCGCTGTTTTGTTTCATGTTGCACAGAATGCTTTTTTGATCTTTTTGTCATTTTCTTACCATGTTAAAACCATATGCTTATACTGTGGTGTTACAAGGTTCTTTTTGCAACTAGGAAATTAGTTTTTCTTTGAATATTCTTATCACTCCTAGTATGGTTTTTGTAATATGAATTAACTGTTGTACGTATGCTGGAGATAGATAGATAGATTTTTCGAAAGTTTGATAAATTTGAAATAAATGTCTTATCTCTTCGTTCTTTCTTCTATCTTCTATCCACAAACGCTAGGGGTGAGAGGGAGGGGGTAGAGTACGGGGTGAGGGTCGCGCTAAACTCCTACCCGGGGGGGGTCCTATTCGGCTTATTTGGGTGGGGTTTAGAGACAAAATTGGGGTTTGGAGCTTAAAGGCAGCGTCCAGGCAAGTCTGGACCTATGGGGATTTTACATGGAAAGTATTTTGGGGCCCTAACTAAGCCACTACCCAACCGGCAGCTCAAGTAGTGCTCTAACGCCTGAGATATTCTGCTCGAAACCGGACCCCGCGACCGTGTTTCGCATGGATTCATGGCGCAAAGAGTGGATCCTGGCGCGAAACTGCCATGAATCCATGCGAGTACGTTCGCGGGGGTCTGTTTCGAGGGGAATATCTCAGCCATTGGAGCACTACCTGAGCTGCTGCTTCGGCAGTGCCTTAGTTAGGGCCCCAAAAGTACTTTCCATGTAAAAGCCCCATAGGTCCAGATCTGCCTGGAAGCTGCCTTTAATTAGGGCTAATTACAGTATGCCGCGATCGGGGGGCTCCGGCGCACAAAATCGGGGGGCTCCGGAGCAGAAAATGGGAGGTATCCGGAGCAGAAAATGGGGGGTATCCGGAGCAGAAAATGGGGGGTATCCGGAGCAGAAAATGGGAGGGCTCCGCCGGACAAATGGGAGACCCACCGCTGGGGATACGCCGCGACCCTGCCACTTCTCCGGCGGAGGGGTCCGATCCGCTGTCTGAGCAGTGAGTTCAACTTGAGGGTTCATGAAACCCACGGAGTTTGATTGTGAATAGCGGCTAACTGTCTTCTTTGCGCTTCCGAAACTTTCCGGATTCAAACCATTGGGTTCCAGAAGTAGCCTCGTTGATACCCGCATCGTGGTTGAAGCACATCTATTGGTTAGGCTAAGGGATTCATTGATGTATACGGCTACAAATTAGCCAAAACTGTGATGATTCCGATACAGACTTGGCATTGATATTGATGACTTGTCGTACACCTTCGCTACCTTCTGTTTGCAATTGCGTTTCAGGAGTAACCTAAACCACTATCTTCTAAGCTAGGTACTTAGTTCCGCTGGACAAGTTGATAACCTCGCATTAGGTGGACTTGATGTCTCACCTTTTATTAATGAACGAGAAAGCACAAAATGTGCGCGTAGCAAATGTTCGGCATCCGCTGCAATTTGATAGTTGTAAAATTGTTGCAACTCCAGCAGAAAAAGGGGTTGAGAAATTCAGCTTTTTTCAATAAACATCAATGTTCAGTTTGGTGAGTACCAGATTTTGAATTGCACTACCCCGATCCAATTTGAAAAAAAAGGCGGGAGTAAGGATTAGAAACTACTAGCTGGCTTACCCGGTTCCGCCGTATCCGGACCAAACTTGGCACACATACACTTCGGGCCCCGGCGGGTGTCACAGTCCACTTTTCGTTATCGATCGATGTCGATTTTACCGATTTTTATCGATTTTTTGCAGAGTTCACCTACAGGGCTAGGAGTCGGCACAGGGGGGGGGGAAGTGAGCATGGGGATTCCGAATACAATACTAGTTTTCAGAATTATCGATTACTTTTATTGATTTTATCGATTTTATGTAAATTTTGAATGCGAGGCTGGGATTTTGCACAGGGGGGTAATCGAGCATGCTGATTACGAACACAATATTAGTTCTCAGGATCGTCCATTACTTTTATCGATTTTATCGATTTTTTTGTAAAGTTTGACCTGCGGGGCTGGGAGTTTGCACAGGGGGGTAATCAGCATGCAGATTACGAATACAATATTAGTTTTCAAGATCGTCCATTACTTTTATCGATTTTATCGATTTTTTGAAAATTTGAGCTAGGGGGCTGAAATTTGGCACAGGGGTGTAATCGAGCATGCTGATCACCCCCCTTGGGGATGATCAGCATGCTCGATTACCCCCCTGTGCGAACTCCCAGCCCCCTAGCTCAAACTTTGCAAAAAATCGATAAAATCGATAAAAGTAATCGATAATCCCGAAAACCAATATTGTATTCGGAATCCCCATGCTCGACTACCCCCCTGTGCGAACTCCCAGCCCCGCAGCTCAAACTTTGCAAAAAATCGATAAAATCGATAAAAGTAATCGATAATCCTGAAAACCAATATTGTATTCGGAATCCCCATGCTCGATTACCCCCCTGTGCCAACTCCCAGCCCCGTAGCTCAAACTTTGCAAAAAAATCGATAAAATCGATAAAAGTAATCGATAATCCTGGAAACCAATATTGTATTCGGAATCCCCATGCTCGATTACCCCCCTGTGCCAACTCCCAGCCCCGTAGGTGAACTCAGCAAAAAAATCGATAAAAATCGATAAAATCGATATCAATCGATGACGAAAAGTAGCCTATGACACCCGCCGGGGCCCGTAGTGTATGTGTGCCAAGTTTGGTCCGGATCGGTTCAGAAATGGAATTTTCTATTCGGAACATACGTACACACATACATACATACAGACAAACAGACATTCAGCTTTATATATAAGACTAGCTGGCTTACCCGGCTCAGCCGTATCCGGACCAAACTTGGCACACATACACTTCGGGCCCCGGCGGGTGTCACAGTCCACTTTTCGTTATCGATCGATGTCGATTTTACCGATTTTTATCGATTTTTTTGCAGAGTTCACCAACAGGGCTAGGAGTTGGCACAGGTGGGGAAGTGAGCATGGGGATTCCGAATACAATATTAGTTTTCAGAATTATCGATTACTTTTATTGATTTTATCGATTTTTTGTAAATTTTGACATGCGAGACTGGGATTTTGCACAGGGGGGTAATCGAGCATGCTGATTACGAACACAATATTAGTTTTCAGGATCGTCCATTACTTTTATCGATTTTATCGATTTTTTTGTAAAGTTTGACCTGCGGGGCTGGGAGTTTGCACAGGGGGGGTAATCGAGCATGCAGATTACGAATACAATATTAGTTTTCAAGATCGTCCATTACTTTTATCGATTTTATCGATTTTTTGAAAATTTGAGCTAGGGGGCTGGAATTTGGCACAGGGGTGTAATCGAGCATGCTAATCACCCCCCTTGGGGATGATCAGCATGCTCGATTACCCCCTGTGCCAACTCCCAGCCCCCTAGCTCAAACTTTGCAAAAAAATCGATAAAATCGATAAAAGTAATCGATAATCCCGAAAACCAATACTGTATTCGGAATCCCCATGCTCGATTACACCCCTGTGCGAACTCCCAGCCCCGTAGCTCAAACTTTGCAAAAAAATCGATAAAATCGATAAAAGTAATCGATAATCCTGAAAACCAATATTGTATTCGGAATCCCCATGCTCGATTACCCCCCTGTGCCAACTCCCAGCCCCGTAGGTGAACTCAGCAAAAAAATCGATAAAATCGATAAAAGTAATCGATAATCCTGAAAACCAATATTGTATTCGGAATCCCCATGCTCGATTACCCCCCTGTGCCAACTCCCAGCCCCGTAGGTGAACTCAGCAAAAAAATCGATAAAAATCGATAAAATCGATATCGATCGATGACGAAAAGTAGCCTATGACACCCGCCGAGGCCCGAAGTGTATGTGTGCCAAGTTTGGTCCGGATCGGTTCAGAAATGGAATTTTCTATTCGGAACATACGTACACACATACATACAGACAGACAAACAGACATTCAGCTTTATATATAAGATAAGAAGATAAAGCAACAGCAGAGTTATGCTATCCGTAAAATCATATCGATTATGAAATTTAAAAAAAATCATAGCAAAAACTAAAAGTTCTCCCAAACCACAAAATGAAGTATTGTTTAGATCACGCTTCCTGGCACACCCTTATAGTTATCTATTTCGCTTCTACAACAGCAATAAGATGTTATACGAAGACAACAAACCGGGTAAGACTGCTATTTAGCTCCCCATTGATAACCAGCAATGATATACATCAATTGAATCATACGATCGGTCTTCACGAATGGATGCCGAAATGCACCAAAAATGTTATATTTTCTTATGGTTCAAATGATACAATTCAAAGGTTCTCCAAAAAAACCCAAATTAAACGCATAAGACGATACAATATGCGCTGCAGCATCACGAGCGACTACTACCTATAGATACTAACTTGAAGGTATCAACTAAGCTATTGCCCAAGCCTTATATCATTCATACATGGGAGACCCACTCCAGCGTAGATTGTTCCTACATAATCCAGATCAGTTGGAGGTGGTGGGGTTTTACTGCAGTGCGGGAGCACGGCTCCTGACAAACAATTCAAGTCCAATCGAAAACGGTGGATTCTGAAGCGAGAAAATCGCTCCCGAAAAAAGGGGCGGTTCGCTAATCCCGCCTCCTTGACAAGTTTTTACGTGGCGAATGCTGTAGATCTAATGTAGTAACCATGTCAAAACTTGCCAAGGAGGCGGGAATAGCAGCCTCCCATTTTTTCGGGAGCGATTTTCCCTCTTCAGAATCCGCTATTTTCAATCGGACTTGAACTGTTGCATTAGCCAGGAGCCCTCCCAAAACCCAAGAATGATAAAAGGCAAGAAAGTTTTGTAAGCAAACAGAGTTAGTATCAAGTGATTCCAAAGAGAGAAAATGCATTTTCATGTTAGCTGGATTACTGACAATGAGATCATGTGTTCAGATTTCCAACATCTCATCAGAAGATTACAACTCATGCTATATCAATTCCACGTTCAAATTAGTAAACGGGTCTTGTAACAGCATTGACTACACATTTGGAGGAGAAATGGTTAGTCAACGTCATAAAATATAATGACTTATTTCTATAAGTAGATGATTGAACAGTATGAATGTTAAAAAAATATAGCTTTCTGAGACAACCTTCAACGTAGTCGCTGCCACACACCCTTTTTTCAATTGAAGGCTCCGTTTACCCTAAATTAGGAGTCTTGAGCTTTTGGCAGCTTACGACAGTGCCCCCTATCAAGCCAATTCTCAAGCCGGCTCAAAATGTCGCGTTAAAAGCGAGGAAATCGCCTCGTAACAACGAGGAGGCATGAGGACCCCAAGTCGGCACAACCCACCTTCAGTAATGCCCGCCCATCCAATAACCGTTCCAGAGTATCGCCCTGCGCGTTCTCTGAAACGAGGATTGTCGGGCTTTTCGCGGACTCTCGATTTTATATTCGGAATCAGGGATATAAAAAGCCCCAAAACGATCTGGAAGTCGAGGATCTGGGTGGACGGTGCCTTTGACAGTAGCAATCAGAAACAAGGTGAGCAAGGTATCGTATTTAAAGGACTAATACGGTTGTCCATGCTTACTAAAACTGAATTTCTTTTCAACATCTCCGAGGAAACAACTTTTTTTGAGTTTGGCGCTACGCTAGCCCAATAAGGAAAATCGAGGCGAGAAATCCAATTGCCGAGATATTGCCTTCAATAAGTGACTTCAGATACAATGTCAATCTGCGACAACAGCGTGAACTTCGTTTTTCAGAACATTTCTGCTGAGGTAATGCCTCGTTGTGTCGTACAAGCAGTTGGAAACGAAACGGAACCTGGCAATTCTCAGAGTTGGCATAGTATTCTGAGATAAATAATCGTACACCTCTAATTTCAGTGATAAATGATGGAGATTCGAAAACGATTACATGTTACTGCAACAGTTCCGAGATTTGTACGATAAAAAATGACACATTCAAGGTACTAAAACAGCTTTTAATGACCATGCGCATTTCTCTTTTTCAAAGTCTTTGATATGCGAATATTTTTTTTGCATTGAGCAACATAGTCGTGGGCCCTTTATAAGCAATTTCCGATTCTGAGCTCTGAAACAGGAGTGAAATACAGCTGAGACGAAAGAGTGTGTAACAAAAGTTGAAAAGAAAAAAGTTCTTTACTCAAATCACATATAGGGCTTATCAAATTGAGTGTCGTTTGCACCAGCATCTCCATCTTCGCGCTGGGCTCTGCGTCTCTTCTGGGTACATGCTCCCTAATCACTTCCAATCGATTGTTGCTCCGCCTTTCCCACGCTCGCCTTGGGAAAGTGCTCAGAGAGCAGCCCTGCGGAAGAGACGCAGAGTCCAGCGCGAAGATGGAGATGCCGGTGCAAACGACACTCAATTTGATAAGCCCTATAACTGCGCACTGCTCTTTGCAAACATGAGAAGGCTTGCAGAAATTCGAAAAGCTACCACCTGCGACAACTATCTTTGAAAAGTCTTGAAAGAAGACAAAGCGACTTGCTGCAACGAATAAACAAAATTATTTCAGAAGACCTTCGAAACACCAATGCCAGAAAATGGTATAACAATTTACCGTTGTCTATACGATTTCCTTACAGGTAAATAACCCACAGTTCAAAGTAACATTTTTCAACCACGAAAAGTATGAGCTGTAAGAATCGTTTTTTCAGAGTACAAAGTCGAAGCAGAGCGGTATGTTCTAGGCTACATTTTCAGTTCCACATTCGTAGAAAGTACAACGCCAACCGCAGCAACCAAAATCAGAAGAGTTAGTTCATAATTCTCCGGAGGCATAGTTCCAAGTCAGGAAGTGTACACACGTAGCCGGAATCACCTCCAAACTCTTGCCCAGTACCGTACTCAAAGAGCTGATTGCTCCTCTCTGAAAGAGTACGGAGCTGGGAAGAAATTATTCGAATTTTTCGGCCAAGAATAAAACATGAGCGCAGCGGCTTCGGCTGTGGGCCGATATGGCAGTTTCGCAAAAATCCTGAGCACCCAGTTTTGTCTAAACATGGTCTTGACTGTATTTATAAATCAGATAAAACTGAGATATCAAGATAACGCTGCAAGCACATTCAAGGTGTGGCTCACCCCCTTCCCCTCTCCGTCTAATTCGCTCATAGAGTACGTCCAGCGCGCGAAAGTGCAGAAAAGCTTGATAAATACCATATAAATTTTATAAGAAGTGATAAGATGCCACACAGAAACTCTTCAAACTTCCGAATGACTTGTTCGAAGTTTGTTCTCTGCCAAATGCTCTCTCTCGCTCAACATTTGAAAATCATAGCATATATCTCGAAGCAGCGACAAAGGCTCTTGCGCGCTTCCTTGAAACCCAGGTCAAAATATTGTCAAGACACTACATTAGGTGTAAGATGCGCTGCAGACTTACAGAGAATTCGGATAGTTCAGAATTTAAGTAAAAGGTATTGAAAAGTCTGGAGCATAGATAACTTTCAGACAATACGGCCTTACAAGGATGAAGATGAAGACGAAGACGAAGACGACAACTCAGAACCACGCAAAAAGTAAGCTTAAGATATAGTCCTGGATGCAAGTGATATAAAGATGATGATTGACTGGCACAGGTACTTTGCGACGGGACTGAAATTCTATGGCATCGTTCTTACGGTTTTAACACTTCTTTTGATCTTCACAGCATACTACGCTTTCTTCTAAGTGAGTAGACTTCTGTTTACTAGACTGTCATGGAAGTTTTACTTTCCAGTAAGCTTACATCGACTTATTTCAGTCTAGAAAATGAAGACAAGCTTGTAGAGACACTCAGTTCAAAGCAAATACTACAAAAATACCAACGTATCCATGTTCGTAATCAATTAAGATTGCAAAATTGTAATGCAGATAAAGCATGGTTTAAAGCTGGCAATTTAACAGTGGTGCTTTAACTTGTCTATCATTATTTCGCAAATCGATACAAAGGAAGAAATTTTTGGCATTCATTAACACCTGCATGTTGTGATCGCCGACACAAAGCACCGACAGGAAAAAGTAATGTAGGTAAAAATAGTAAATGGTAAAAGCCACTCTTACACCGGGTGATTGCGAAAATCTCCTTGACGTGTAAGCAGTCTAAAACAAGGTATAATGGTTGAAACCACCATACCACGACGATCATGGTGCATGTTTTGCAAGCAAAAGGCTACGCTTGTAAATGGAGAATCTAGATGCAGATTAAAGAGTGAGAGGGAAAGAACCAAAGAGAAGAGCGTTTAATTGCAGGTTATCTCAGAACTTCAACTGCTGCTTACTATAACTCAGAAAAATGTAGTCGATGGTGCATTCGATGTCACTCAGATTCAACCCCAAACACTCACAGATTGCTGACTATACCGAATTACTGGAGCAAGACCATGTGTAACGAAGAAATTGAAGCAGTTACAAAGCCTCTTTATGTGACAATCTTAGCAGAATAGAAAAAACTCCAAAAATAAAACCTACGATGATCGATTTATGGAACAACATCAGCTGATCTTCCGCGGTTGACGACTTCTCTTCTTGAACCATATCCCTGAAGTTTTGTTCCTTCCCATACTCACGTTGAATGCGTGACGAGGTCTACGAAGAATCAGTGCTGCTTAATCAGCTCAATCAAAATTGCGACAAACCTCGACAAAACGCTCAGAAGAACTTTTATTACTTCGAGCGGGTACGACGTTTCCTGATCTATCTCTCTTCAACAGAATCACTGATTTTTCAGAGCTTGTAGATCCACCCGATCCACCCTCCAGTTTCCGCCTCAGTCTTTCCACAAGTTCCTTGAAAAATATATATGCATGCTTTGGCTCGCACGAACATTTCCACTTTGATGCGGCTATTTACATCACATTTGATATGGACCATCAAGCTAAAGGATTTGAAAACGGGTGCAACTGGTTAACCATCTTCCATTTTCAGAGTTTTACGATTGTAATTGTAACACAGATGCAAAACACGAAGATGAAACTGTTTCATGGTGTCTTTATGCAGTCGCAAACAGGTTTCTGTAACTGCCAACCGTTTTCAGCAGTCAGAAGGCGCTAACAGCTGCAAAAGCAACTGAAAACGGGCTTCAACAGTAAAAGCTTTCAATGCTATGAACGCTCGTTTTGAAAATGAACTTTACTGAAATGCAGCTGTATATGCGCATTCTCGCAACTTAAGAATTGCACGAACACACACACACATCGATGAGACAGATGACATAAAAGCAAACCAACGTTGAAAGATTGAAGTAAATATATGAGATTGACTTACTGTATCTCCTTTCATTTCAGCCTTCAGTATCTTTGCATGAATCTTATTCTTCTCATCTTCTGATAAGGCCGCACTAGAAGAGGCCTGAGCCTCTGTAGGTTGTCTTGTATACGCTCCTCCGCCCTCAGACCCACTTGATACAAAATCCTAGGAGAAGGCAGCATTATTCACGTAGTCAGCCTGGATTGTGAGTCGCAGAGTCAACTTCTCATCTATTTCTTAGAGGACTTCTAAAGATCACCCTACACTAGCGCATTTTTAACTGCAACTCCAAACAAGGCTAAATGATGCAAAACTTATGAGAACACCAAAGGCCTGGGGCATAGACGCGATTTCATCGTCGCGATTCTTTTAATAAGGCATACACTTAGGAGTCCATCGCATTCTAATCATTTTGCACTTCGGTTGTGATAGTTCTCCAACACAACCAACGTGATTAACTATAACGAAATGCAAGATGATCGAAATGCAATGCGTACAGTGCATGTTAATGAGGAGCTCACAAGTCCGTAGCTCTTACGCGTACGCATCGCAAGGCTGATGCGCTCCGTTCGCGTGCGTTGGGAGTTGGCAAAATGCCCTGCCGTCCGCTCGCGCACGTGGCGCACGGGATTTGCGGCGTGCATGCAAATCGAGGACTGCACAAAAGGGAATAGGTTTTTGACATCGCTTGTAACTGTGTCTTGTTGGAGGGATCGCGGCGATGAAATCGCATGAACTCTGGCCGAGACCAAAGGCAAAACGCTCCCATCGAGATAATGAAGCTGACCGTGCGACAAAAACATATAAAAGACAAATAAACAAGGAATGAAAAATTAAGAAACGACTAAAGATCCAACCAAGGGAAATATTATCATTCATATACCTTTCCAGTCATGGACAATTTCTGAGAGTATTTAGTTGGTAACGGTTTTGCCTTGACGACCTTGCGAGTCCCAAAATCGTCATCATCAGGCTTCCGGAACATGGCTTGAGCTCTAAACGGATAAATGAGGAAAGAATACTATCGATCTTGAAACCGCAAAACGACATCGATGTTATGATCACACATAAAGGAACGCCCGTAAAAGGGCTCGGACCTGGGAGGAGTTGCTAGTGCGCTCCATCGCCATTTCGATTAGAGCACGGTTTTTCCAATTGGAGCGCACTATCTCCAAACAATTGCACGTTTCACGCCGATCTGGATGAACTTTGAGTATACGTATAGTCTTTAATATCTTTGTGGAAATTTGACGGTAAAATGTGGACAAATCATGTCAAAGGATCAAAACTGCCAATTCTTTGTTACGATAAAACCAGTTTGCGTATATTTCATGCGTAGAAAAAATTCTGTGAAACATCAAACCATTTTTCTGCTCAACTTTGAGGCACAAACCCACAAGCCTGCCAGAAATTCGAAATCTTTGAGAATGTTTGGCTCAAAAATACATTAATTCCAAGCATGCTGGATTTTTTGTGCATATTCGACCGACCCCACATGTGTTTGGACTCTTGTCACATGTATTTCCACGAATATATACAATATCTATGCTCTCAATGGATCCAATGATAAGTAAGGTCCGCTCCAAGTTTCAACGTTCCCAAACTTCCGGATTATGAACGCAGCCTACGGCTTGTGCCTATGAACCCGTCCTACGAAAAACTACGAACTTTGTCCCGTAGTGATGCTCAGTGAGAATATGGCGCCAAGCCAAGTTCTATGTTCAGCACATTGGCCAGCTCTTTGCTCAAAAAAAATTCTCAGTAATTTCAATTCCAGTAAGTAAAGTTTCATAGTTAACTCAGTGTAGCACCAAGTTTTGAAATTTCTTTGTTTCTAGAGAATTCCTGAGGTTGACATCTGGGCAAATCAATTTTGTACATTCAAAACTATTCACCAACTGCAAAAATCCCGGTTTTTCCATTTAGCGAAACAGTTACAGTCTATAAAGGTCACCAGCATAAAATTGCCGTTTTCCACCCATTTTTTCCTCAATTTTCAATCTTAGCACCATCGACAAGCTTATCGAACAACATTAGCAACGATGATTTACGGCTATGCAGCGCTTTTGAAGCTCATAACAAAGGCAACGATTGCTATCACGTGCAAAATTGAATGACAATTCGATTCCTTTTTTGGCTCTCATTGCTTTGAATACGTCGATCTAATAAGATTGCCAGCAGATCTCAAGAAAGAATTTCATATTTTCGAGATAAGTTATGTAATTACAAGACAGTCATAGGTCGTTTTAAGAAAAAAAAAAGACAAAGCAACATCGTAAAGGATGTTTTCGGACCCGTAAAAAGAGTTCGCACACGAACTCTTTTTACGGGTCACACCAGTGCTAAATCCATCCCAATTTAGCGCAAGCAGCCCTAAGATACTTCTAAAAGCTGCACGAAGTGGATCCTCAAGTGGTGTGAACTGAAAGAGAAGTTAGAGCAGCGGAGATTAAACTGTCGTATAGACCTCGACACGATACCCAATTGACATCGTGCGTCAAAAATGCGTACTTGATGTAAATACAGTGTACACTACTTACCTCAACCTGTAATTAATATTTTTTCAACTTGTACTCCCTCCCCATCTCTCTGGAGTTGGGAAAATGACTGAAGAAAGTACTGGTAAAACTGATTGATTTTAAATATCACTACTCGTACTGAAATGTATATCGTGGGGGTTATTTATCATGCTGATTCCAAAAATGGTACTCATTTTGTTCGATAGTCGTTTGTTTTAGCTGCAGCAGCTGCCCGTTACTGAACAGAATCGTTTAGATTCTGTTTAGTTTGTTTTGCACAAGTTAAAAGATGATACTCATTTCGCATATTCTGTGAATGGGAGACTCGAAACTGCTGTGCACATAATGTCTAAACAATGGTAACTTGCTCTTCCGAGTTTCCGTTCATAAAAATATCTTCAATTTGATAGATTAGTTTGAAAAAAAAAATTTACCAGACATCATACATTACCTCTTACGCGCTCGAACCTATGATAGCATCGAAAGCCCAATGAATGTCAGAAGTGATAAAAGTAATTGGAATAGGCAATCTGGAAACATCGATAATCACTTGAGTAATCTGGAGAGACAGCCTACTTACCTCTGACCTGCACTTCCACTTGGCACACCAAATAACTCCAAACTTAGCTATGGGTGAACGGCTATCAAGCAAAATGAGTACCATTTTTGGAATCAGCATGATAAATAACCCCCACGATATACATTTCAGTACGAGTATTGATATTTAAAATCAATTAGTTTTACCAATACTTTCTTCAGTCATTTTCCCAACTCCAGAGAGATGGGGAGGAAGTACAAGTTGAGAAAATATTAATTACAGGTTGAGGTAAGTAGTGTACACTGTATTTACATCAAGTACGCATTTTCGACGCACGATGTCAATTGGGTATCGTGTCGAGGTCTATACAACAGTGGAGATTAACCCAAAAACGGAAGTTCAAGACAGAGTTACTGACAATGAGTTTCAAGCGTAAATGCAGGCAAAGGTTATAGAGGGTAGATGCTAACTATGGCTGGGTTTATACTGATCCGCAAGTTCCGAAACAGCTCCAGCACAACGCACAATTCGAGCGCTGTGCTGAGATGTTCCGGAACTTACGGATTAGTATGTACCCAGCCTATAGCGTAGCTTCTTTTCGTTGATGGACCGAAAGCTGTGTTGTTCCACAACTCTACTGAGTAGAGTAAAATAAGAACCAAAACAAAGGTCACATATAGATGAACACAAAGCAAAAGTATTGTTGAGTTAAGCATTGTGCTGACTTTACCACTCTTATGGTAAAGTCTAAGATCTGATGACTGACCAGTCTTATGGAAAGCCGGTAGTGGAGTTTGGTGGCTCCTGGTGTGTTACAGTACACATAAGCTAATAACAGCTTTATTGAGACATCAACATACCCTCATTCGGGTAGTGGTAGAATGCTGCTCCTAATAGGCGGAGCAAAGCGAGGTAATGCATATCAATACAAAGATATGACTTGAGGTCGCGAGTTGGTGACCTCAAGGCTACAAAGGAGTTTAAGTAAGGAGGAATTGATAAGATTGGAAGAGGTGCCGAATATATCGGCACATTCCGGCCAGCAAAAAGGAAAAGGAACAAGCGAAGATACGAAATAATTACGATGACTACAAAAGGGATATACACAAATTGTTCAGTGGCATGTAAACCATCTAACTCAGTGAAAATGATACACATGGAATAAATGTCGAGTGTACCGGCACAACGGCCAACAAAAAGGAAGGAAAACGAATGAGAATGAAAGAAAATAAACTAGCAAGTAACTTAGAAAATGTACACTTATCGGGGTATCGCAATGGAGACTGATGAGTTGGCAGTTGAGCGAAGATTAGATCCTGGTTATACTTGACGTCTTGGAATTTGAAGCGTTCATCGTTGGAGATGTGGTAGGTGAGAAAAGCGCTGGACGAGGCGGAGTGAAGAGAAGTCGAACGAGGTTGATGATAGCATAGTCGTAATAGGCAAAGTCGATGATGACGTTTTTGTGGATTTTGGTTGTTTGGAGAGGGCGACTGTTCAAAATTCGAAGCTGTTGGCGCATCTTCACTGCTTCTTTTTGAGCGTCCAAACGATTTGAAGAGCCGTTTCTTGCAAAGCTCATAACGCCGTTTCCGTGGCATCTCGGGCGTAATTTGCGTTGAGGCCATGCTAATTTGGACGCAAGTGAATGCTTGCTTTTTAATCATTTTAAATCTCCGGGTTCCACCTTTGCCATCACTGAAATACTCGACGCCTTTTTCAACCTCTTTCTGCGAGAGTGATGTATTTTCCAACATCTTTTCTTCCTCGTCATCATCTTTTGAGATGGGCTTTTTGAGGTCTTGGTCACACGTTCTTTCAATTTTGTTACTACCGTAATCACGCGTAGGTAAGTCCGCATAGTGTAATATAATAATGATTGACCCCTGTTAGAGATTACTTAAGAATGACTTTGAAACAGTAACGACATTGTTGGACCTTTTTATATGGGCATTCTTCCCTATTTACAGTAACAACTTTCTCTTACTAAAGGTTTATTAACAAGAAGGAATACTAGGGGGCAGCACAGAGGGTGCAGGACAGAGTACATCAATACAGAACTAGGATGTGAAATAGAGTTTGAACTACATCAATAGAGACTTAGGAATATAGGGGAACTTGAAAATACAGAGAGCATATATATATAGAAGGATAGTGATGAAGAAATGGTATACACATAACATAAAGATAAAAATGAGTGGTTGATTATATGTCGCTGAGCCGGCCGGAGCCGGCTAGCTCGGTGCCTCTCTCTCCCCCTGAGGGCGGGGTTTAGTTGCTTATATAGTTGGCGAGGGGCGGGGCAAGAGTGCAGGGACCAATAGCGCATTACCGTTATTAGCGCTTTTCCTACATGATTTTCTTTCGGAAAGTCCCGGTCCCCGGGACTAAAAGAATGTGACAGGGGCATCTTGACAAATGGCGGTGACGTGGCCAGTGGCGTTACAACGGAAGCACACTGGGTTCTCTGTGCATTCTTTTAGGGGATGGCTCTCGAGGCAGCGAGGACAGAGCCTGTATCTTTGAAGGAGTATGCGGGCTCTTTTATGGAAGGGCAAGGGTGATTGACAGTACCGCGTAAGATGAGTACTTTGGCTGCAGAGAAGGCATAGAGGTGCCGGAATTGGGTTAAAACAGCGTCGCTGAGTAGGTCCGCGATATTCGTGTTTTAAGCGATAGTAGTACTGGGGTTCATGTGGCTCTGGTCGGGGAGAGAGACATAGTTTGAGTAAGCTGGGGATGGCTCCAAGAGGTTTCTCCCAATTGCGTGGTTGTGGTGGTGCGATAGTGCGCAATTTACGGGGAGGTTTGGGCGTAGTGAGGAGTATCCTCCGGCGTAAGAAGTTTTGGGAGGCTTGTGTTGGCACGTGGATAGTTACTGTGGAAGGTGTGATGCCTTCCGGAGGATTTGCGGTAATGCTAGGATTGTTAACTTGGGAGGTTGTGATTTCCGGAAGGATAGTGGTATTGTCAGTATCACTAACGTATGGAGAATTGGTGCCTTGCGAAGGATTTGTGGCATTGTTAGAGTCGTTAACTTGGGAAGGAGATGAAACAGAATGAGATACAATCGAATTCACATCGGATTCTGCAGGTACAACGAGGAGGATGTCAGGAGAAGGGTTATTATTTGGAGATGTTACATCTAAACTCATAGCGATATCAGGAGTGGGAGTAGAAAGAAGATAACGAGTTAAGGAAGGGGAAGGAGAGGTGGAAGGAGAAGAAGAAGAAGAGGAAGAAGAGAGATAATAAGATAGCGTAGGTGATTGTTGCTTGCGACGAGAGCTGGATGACGATGACGAGCGGGATCTCTTGCGACTGAAACGATCGGAGGCAACAGGAATCGTATTTGTCGACATCTGGAACTGTTCTGCAATTGAAATCCGTGATTTTGTGCGTTTAACGTGTTTAACACGCTATTCTGGGCAGTAGCGTGGCAGGGGGCGCTCTAATGACGAGGGTGCGGCGCGCGGCGTGCGCGCGTCGCGGCCTAATTGATTTCGGCGGGTGACGCCGCAATTCAAAATCGTTGCGTCATTTGGAACGCTGTGATTGTTTTTGGCATTCATTTGTCCCTATGTTCGCTGTCCTTGCATGTTATTTCTTATTTGTCTGTTTCTGCATTAGTTTTTGCTTGTTCGTCCACATTGCTGCCTTTTTAACTTCGATTAGGTTATTCTGGTATCCCGTTTTCTCGTTGTCGCTTAATTTCGCAATAATGTGATTGTTTGTGCGCTGAACTCGTCGTGTCGTGTTCATAATAGTAATTTCTTATGATCTTATCGATTTTTTTTTCCAGATGGCCCACTCCGTTGATCGAAGCTTCTGCCCCTCGCGCTGTTCTGAGCGAGGGGTTTGTTTCTCTAAGGGGCCCACCTACGTCTGTGTTTGTTACGACATGGACGTTTATTCTGCTGATTGTGCTACTATTCCTACTGGTGGCTCGACTACGCTAGAGCCTTATATCTATTATTTGATATGGGCAGTGCTGATTGCGGGTAAGTGTTTTTTTTTGTTTGTTATCGCTCTTTTTTTTTCAAATACTTTTTCTTTTTTTTTTTTTGAACTGTTATAGTTTTTGCTTTGAAGTACTTTCTTTTTCTTTTAGCTTTCGCGGTTGCGACGTTGGCGTTAGCTGTATCTATTCGCCAAGTCGTCCGTGCATGTCGCACTCGGCGCTGGGAGCCCGAGCCGGTAAAACCGGTGATTTCCGTCTTGGGTCGTAATCCCTTGGGACAGGTAACGGCATGATGTGCACGGAATTTTGTCATGTTGTCTTGTGCTTGTGTAATGCTGTGTTTTTTTTGTGTGTAATTTGGTTTGTTACGGTATGCTGGTGCTAACTTTACGGTGACTATGTGCAATAATTTTTTTTGTTATATTTCATGATATACTGTTAATAAAGGAATGCTGGTTTGCGGTGATGGGTTCTTTCAGGTTATGTTCTGTTGTATATCGAGACGTATGGTTGTTTTGTTGTTTCTTAACATCCTTTTTTTTTTGTTCAAAATTTTTTTTTTTATTTAGATGTGGCAGTCGGTCGATAGAAGTTTTTGTATGGACCGCTGCAGTGAAAGAGGAGTATGTTTTGGACTAGGCGGGAAGGAGTTCAAATGCGTCTGCTACGAAGTGGACGACTATTCTATGAATTGTAATGGAGTCACCACTACGGTGCCGATGGAAGCGGATAGGGTGGACTGGGCGTTGATAGCAGCGCTATCCATCGGTAAGCCTTAGAATTAGACTTTATGCTTTTGTTTTTTTTTCTTTTTCTGTCTTTTCCGTTTTTTTGTTTTAATATGTATGGTATTCTTAGCACTCATCCTACTGATGAGTTTTTTGGCCGTATGTGTCGGCTTCTGGAGGCGTCGATGCCGCGAATGCTTCGACGGAGGAGTTCGCTTTGTCCTTCGTGAAGCAGCGAGAAGGTGCGGCGAGACGCCTGCAGGGCCACCGGCCGGGGAGGAGAGGAGAGGTGTGCCGGCATGCGGCTAGGGTTTATTGTGTTTATCTTTTCTTGTAAATAGGTTTTCTGTAAGTATGTATATACTGTTTTCTGTAAGTACTTGTTATCTAGTTAACCATTGTTATGTATAGTGTAGAGGGTTTTGTATATACAATGTTAAAATGTACTATATTTTTGATACTTTATGTGGTGCTGTTATCATTCCTGGTTTCTTGTGATTTTAATTGTAGCTAGTCTTCTATTCTAGTGTTTCTTTTCATATTTAGCGCGATTAAAGGGTTTATTAGCAGTGTTTAATTGTGAACGAGGTTTAACCTCATGATACGTATTTGTGTGCTAATCAGTTGCAGAGTTGTATGGCTTCAACCTGTTCATGTGGATGGTACGGAGGCGACGCCCATCCCGAACGGTGACGTTCGGGCGCTCGATGTCAACAATAGGAAAGGGACCTTCAAACTTAGGTGCGATTTTTGAACCTACATCTTTCCTTATCAATACCTTTTGTCCTATTTGAAAGTTACTGGGACTGACTTTTTTCCTTAGATCGTAGTGGTGTTTTTGGATATCTTGGGAAGTGGTTAGATTATGTTGGGCTTCTCTCCAAACATTTTGGAGGGTGGATGTTAGTTGCTCAACATAATCCTCTTCACTTATAAAGGTTTTGGAGGGCAGTTGTAAGGCTAAACGGAAGGCATTGTTAGCTTCTTTGCCGTGGATGAGAAAGAATGGGGTGTATCTGGTAGAGGCATTTTCAGAAGTATTATAAGCATGGGTCATCAAATGTATGATGTCGTCCCATTGGTCTTCCTTTTGGGTGACAGCAGTGGAAATTAATTCCTCTATTGTCTTGTTTGCGCGTTCCACTTGACCATTGCTCTCATGGTGGTGCGGAGTGCTAGTTTTATGGGAGATGTTCAAAACCTTGAGAGTGTTGCGAAAAACATCACTCATATAATTGGAACCTTGGTCTGTTACGAGGGTTTCGGGTGGACCAAAGCGACTCACCATGCGATGTATGAATACGTCTGCAGTAATGGTAGCTGTTTGATCTGGTATAGGTTCGGCAATTACTAACTTAGAGAATGCGTCTACAAAGACGATAACAAACTTATTGCCTTGTAGCGTTAATGGTAGAGGGCCAATGACATCTGAGTGTACGCGCTGGAAAGGTCGTCTAGGTATCTCAAACCTGTCCAGCGGCTCGTTGGTGCGGTAGACAGAGGGGTCCTTTCGCAGTTGACAAAGGGTGCAAGATCGGACAAAGTCGCTGATGTCACTTGACATTCTATTCCAAATAGCTATCTTGCTTATGGCGGCTTTGGTTTTCTGTATACCTAAATGGGCGGTACCAAAGCGAGACTCATGCACTTGTTTGATGAGTGCCTTTTTGATGTCAGAGTCTTCGGGTAGCACTATCTGGGGGTCTTGATAAACCTTTTCTGGGAGCTTATAAAGGATACCGTTTAAGATAATGTAGTCTCTAACGTAAGGATTAGGCTCATCGTTTTCGATAGCTTGTTTGTAGGATGCTATCCAGGGTGTTCTGTTCTGTTCTTCTTTGATGCGGTCGATGATATCTGGCGAGGAAAGATCGATGTTGCTTTCTGTGTTTGTGCCTGTGTGAGTGGCATTTACTTGGGGAGGATGTCTCGAGAGTGTGTCACAAACAACATTGGCTTTTCCGGGTCTATAAGTTATGGTTATATCAAACTCTTGCAAAATTATTTGGTACTTTGCTAATCTTCCGGTCAAATCTTTCCTATGGAGGAGTGCTTTAAGAGGGGCGTGGTCGGTGATTACGGTGCATTTCGCGCCATCAATGTATGGTCGGAATTTCTGTACGGCGAATACTACACCTAGCGCCTCCAGTTCTATGGCGGGATAGCGAGACTCATGGACATTGAGAGTTCTGCTAGCGTAAGCAATTACTTTCAAGTGTTCGTCTTGTTCTTGCTTTAGAACTCCCGCGACGGCTTTTCCAGAGCTATCGGTTTCTATAACGAATGGTAGGCCTAGCTTAGGGGCAACTAGGATCGGCGCGGTAGTGAGCGCCTCTTTCAAGCGTCTCATAGCGTCTTCGCATTCGGCGGTCCATATAAAAGGCGCATCTTTCTTTGTTAGCGCTGTAAGTGGTGAAGCAATGGCTGCAAATTTGTGTACGAATCTGCGGAAGAAAGAGCACATGCCTAGGAAAGCTTTGATGTCCGTGGGGTTTCTAGGTGTGGGGTAGTCGTCAATTGCTCTGGTCTTTTCCGGGTTAGGTCTTATACCTTCTTTACTTAATACAAAGCCAAGGAACTTAATTTCTTTACGCGCGAATTCACACTTTGATGCTTTCAGTTTCATTCCGATCTCTTCTATCTTGGTTAGTACTTCGTCTATGTCAGTAAGGTGTTCGTCCGGCGTTTCTGAAGTAATAATTAGGTCATCAATGTAAATAAAAACGCGGGCTCTTAGGTGCTTCTTAAATTCGTCCATTATCCTTTGGAAAGTCGCGGGGGCTCCTTTGAGTCCCATGGGCATTCTTATATACTCGAATGCTCCAAGAAAACATGCGAAAGCTGTTCTTTCACAATGTGTCTCTTCCAAAGGGATCTGGTGAAATCCTTGCTGAAAATCAAGTGAAGAATATAGACAGTTATTTGCACATAGATCGATAATGTCCTGAATGTTAGGAAGGATGGATTGTTGAGGCTTAGTTATAGCGTTAAGCCCTCTGAAGTCGATGGTAAATCTCCAAGAGGTGGCATCATCGCGCTTACGTACTAAGACTATGGGGGCACAGAATGGAGAGGCTGATTCACGGATAATTCCGTCTTTTAACATTTGGGTAATTTGCTGTTCGATCTCAATCCTTTTCTCCAGCGGTACCCGGTAGATTTTCCTAGTGGGTATAGGAGCATTATCTATGAGATCTATGCGATGCCGAATTGGTCCGTTGTAGTGTCCTAAGTGGCCATCAGGGCCAACGAAGGCTTTAGAATGATGGCGTATTATGTCTACTAGTTGGTCTTTTTGTTGCGATGTTAGGGCGGACTTGGTTAAATCTATTTCTTTAGCTATATCATAGCTAGTGATTGCTGGAAGTGGGAAGTGAGGGATTCTTTCTTCCCAGTCCGCTTCCGGCGGAACATACTCACTCTGTATAGCTAGTATCTGTTCGACTGGGGAGGATACAGGCGTTGCGTATGCTATTCTCATTCGTTCGTATAGCTTAATGTCTGTATAGGAAGGGTTTAGTATAGTTATAAGACATAGTCCGTCGTTGGATGGGCGAGTTAGAGCTCTGCCTACTACATACAGAAGGTCTATGTCTCTTTGGTTATCCTCGATTATAAAGTCGAAGGGGTTATTAGGCGAATAGTTATCGATAAAGGCTGGTACAATGGAGGAAGATCTTTTTGGCAGAATAGTAGTATGCAAAAGGCGTACGTCCTGCGGCTTTACTTCCAAGAAATTGATTGCGTTAATTTGGATCACATTGTGGGCGTCACTGCCTATAGTGAGCAAGTTGTTATGTAAATCGATGGTTATTTTCAGGCCCAACTGGTTCAATTTCTTGATGAAGTCTGTGCCGAGGAGGACTGGTGCGGGGCATTGATGATCATGCGACACTAGAAAGCGATGAGGTACGTTGTGTGTTCCTATGTTTACATTTACATTTACTGATCCCAAAAGTTCTATGGGAGAACCATTAGCTGCTTGTGCTTTGACATTATTGTTTTCTATTGTTATGTTGGGACCTAGCGCATATAGGGTAGATTGCTTCATATAGGAAATCGTAGCGCCGCTGTCGATCAGAGCTGGGGTGGATAAGTGGTTTAAACTTATTCTAACATATGGTAGCGGGTTTTGAACGTGATTAGTTGCGAACGGTATTGCATAAATTCGGGGGACGAAAAGAGGTTCTCGAGAGGGTAGCTCGGTAAATAAGGCATTGACTTCCGGTCGATTGCGTATGCGCCTTTTTGGCGTGAAATTACTTGCTAGTTCAAACATGGCTGAGGCGGCGGTACTGGATGCTTTTCGTATAAAGTACAATTTTACACAGCAAATGCATGTTGCAACCAATATTATTCCTACTAGCGCGGGTATGGTGATCCATAGTAGCAATGATATGAGGGACCATCTTATGCTTTCTATGCCGTTTGTGAGTTTGCTGGTCGTTTTGTCATAAATTGAGGTTAGAGAATCGCCTATAGAGTTTTTAACATTTTTGATTTGAAGGAGTGCATCGTCTATGATACCTCGTTTTTGTAATCTGTTTTGTAAGGTGAGATATTCTTGCTGCAGAGCGTCGATTTGAAATCTTACAGTGGGAGCATAGCTTTTCATAATGTGGTGGTAAATAGGTGGAGAGTTGAATATAAAAGGTTGTGCGTTATCGCTGAGAAGCATGTTAGGTGGTAGCATGGGCTGAATCTGTCCATTCAAGTTGGTAATGTAGGGGCAGGGCGTTTCTGTTGCGGATTGAACTAGGTCTCCCGTTCCTGGTATAGCAAACCATAATTGTTCTTCCACTAAGACTGGTAACAGTTCATAGCAAGTTTGGTTCACTTGGTGGTTTGAGTGCACTTCTGTTGGCTCCACCTTTCTGCATCTGGAGACCAGAAGCTCGTTGTCAGTAAGAGTGGCTACCACATCTGACGTTCCTAGTAAGGTTCTGGCTGCCCAAGTGGGGTCGGCATGGCTAAGCTCGTGAAGTTTTTGGTTGTTAAGGTATTGTCTCACGCATATGTTGTTGAATTCGCGTCGGATGTTCGCAGGATCCAGGCGGTTGTCGTCTGAGTTTGGCGAAGAGATGTGGTTCGTCCGTTTGCTTTGTTTATGTAGAGGTAGAAGTACGGGTTCGGACGGGGGCAAAGGTATTAACTTCTCGTAACTCAAAACCTTGACAGAGACTGTACTTGTTTGTGGTACGGTCGTAGACGTCGTGCTTGGAGGAGTCGTCTGTTTGCTGCCTCTGACTGGTGTTGTGGGAGGGGCGGTCGAGGATGTCGTAGTTGGTTTCGCAGTAGTCGTTGATTTAGTTGTGGACGTTTTTGTCGTGCTTGGCATTGCTGTGACAGTAGTGGCGGCGGTTGTTGTGGTAACTCGCATCGTAGTGGTGGTTGGTTTGGTCGTCGTCGTTGTATAGAAGCCAATCGGGTTGAGTGATTTGGTCTCCGGGATTACATGTACTGGCGGTATGATTACGGGTGACCTGGTGATGGGAGACAGCGTAGAGGTAGTTGGTGCTGTCTTCGTGGTCGTAGAAGTAGTGGTTTTGGAAGTGGTTGTTGTTGTCGTGGGGAATTTTGTGATCGTCTTCGCGGTCGAAATAGCAATGGTCGACGGGCGGGGAGTGGTACTTTTTAGTCGTTCCCGTTCTATGCTAGCAAATGGATCTGCTTCTATCTGGTTTGTTACATTTACTTTCTCCAAATCTTTTGCTTGGAAGTATGGTGAGGGTTTTCCCTTAAGGTTGGCGGGGTCGCTGTTAATATCCAATTTTAATGTTCCAAATTCGTCGGACAGATACTTATCGAAGACGTCGGTGATGCCTTGTTCGAGGTCTTGTAATAATGAGCGCTCTGCATAGTTCAAAGGTCTTTTAGTTTCGATGGATCTGAGCCAGGCGATTTGCCTATAGCGATACTCGGCGTACCGAATAGTACGGAGGGTGTTTATACGGATATTTTCGATTTCATACATACGGCTTCTACGGAGAAAGTCGGCGTTCGTGATGTTCCAAAGTTTGATTTCTCGCAATAAAAGAATATCCGTTATAGGTTGGGTCTCGAAAGGCGGCAATTTTTGGAAATCTGTGCTACCGAAAATTCTTTCGGCTATGGGTAAGGTCTGCGGGGGCACTAGCTCGTACCGAGACTGCCTGTTCTCTGTGTCTGTGAGGTATTTGACTTCGCGTTTCCTTTTGAAATTATAGGAGCTCTCCAAAATGAAGTCTTGGACCATAGTATTGGATGGTATGTTTGGGAAGGAAATGATATGATTGGAGGTAGTCAAGTAGCTATTAGTTATGGTGCAGTGTTGCAACAATTGGGCGCGAAGCATGTGGTTGTCACTAAATTCGAAAGCTAATTCGTGTTCCGGAATGAGGATGAATTTCATGCTGACGAGCGCGTCATAGTTACCAATTGCAGTGTATCTACACCAAGGGGCAACAGATACGGGTTCCCAGATTATAATCTCATTGGGTGTCAGACAGACACCTTGGGAAAGAGAGCAATTGTTAAGGTTTCCCAGGGTGCTGAGCATGGTTTCGCCATTAATGGTGGCTATTTGTCCTTCCTCGATGGAGTATAGACTACGTAAGTACAAGTTTGTTCCCCAAAAAGGTAGCGTGGCTTTCTCATCTTCTATTTCGTCAGTTGTTTTTAGCCCAGGTGAGACCTCAATCAAAGGGTGACCATGAATGGTGTTGGTAGTTTTGGCTAGTTCGCAATCTTCTTGTGAGAGAGATATGCGCTGGCGGCCTACTACGGTTCGTCTAGTTCTAATATACAGGAAATTGTGTATAGAAACTTTGATTACATCTCGATAACATTTGTACGCCGTTATCTGCAAGGGTTTGTTGGTTTCGCCGAATAATTGTATGTTGGTTTCAATCATTGGTTCTTCTGTTGTTACTCTGCATTGCACTAGTTTCGGAAGCGAAAGTACGTTGGGAAATGAACTGCTGCCACATATTTGGAATGTTCCTACGGGGGTTATGAGGCAAGCTGTTATGATTGCTAGTATGCAAAGGAAATTTACATTTTGTGCGGCTGAAGGAAGGCGGTTTGAGGCTTGATAGTATTGCTGCGGAGCGTTTGTTACTGGTGGTACTAGTTGTTGATTGGGACCAACATAGGGCAGCTGTTGCGTATATGGAGGATACGGAACGTAGGGTTGATTGAAATTTCGAAACGCGGGGAATGGCCGGCGATTCCAGAACCTAGGGTTTGGAAAAATTCGTCTGGGGACGAAGCGGAGTCGGCGTGGTGGGTTTACGTAAGTTCCGGTCCTGGGCCGGTATGGGGTTAGTGATCGTCTTTGTTGGAAATTTGTATTCTGGCGCGGGGGCATATTGAAGCGCACTGTGGGACGTGGACGGTCTTGTTTAGGACTTCTGGAGGGATTTCTATTCGACTGCTGAAGGCTGTTGACTTGGCTAGTTAATTCGTCCACTTTTGCATCTAACACTAAGTTATTTATACTCTCCAAAATCTCTTTTTCCTCGCGATATTCCTGTTCAAGAATTCTTTGCTCTTTTTCAGCATTTGCGAGTGCAGTTTCGAAATCTTTAGGGTCCGGAAGTCTGCGAACTGCTCTACGAATGTCGGGTCTTAGGCCTTTGATGAAAAAGTCTATGGCTAGTTTGTTAGGAATCCTTTGGTCTTCACCTTGGTACGCTACTTTAGTTTTTGCTAGGATCTTTTTTGCAAATGTTCCTACGGAGTCTTTTCCTTGTCTAAGATGGTGTAATTCGTCGCGGACGTTACTTAGCATTGCTTCGTTTTTGAACTTTTTGGCTAAGGCCAAAACCATGGAATCCCAGGTTTCCTTTTCTTGGTCAGTTAGGGTTTGGAATTTTACTTTAGCTCCACCTCCTAGAAATAGGGGGAGTAGGCTTTTTGCGTATGCGTGGGGAATATGTAGGCTATCTACCAATTCTTTGTAATCATCGAGAAATTCTTCAAATGTTTTCTCACCATCGCCGGTAAATCTTTCTAAGCGGGTCCCTAGAAGTTTGCTTGAGGCATATAAATCTGGCTGGGAAAATCCGGGGTATTCGAATACCGGTGCCGTATTGGTTTGTACGCTTGCGCTGGGCATGTTCGGGCGTCCTGAGGTCGACGAGGGTCGTTGCTCTCTTGCTGCTTTTTTGCGGTCTTGAAAGTCTCTGATTATGGCGCGAAGATCGTTAATTACGTCGAGAGAGAAGTTGGGATTGCTTTCGTCTACGGAATGGTATTCAAAATCTTCCGGGGGTTCTAATTCGCTAGTGGAAGGACGATCTACGTTAGATTGCGTTATACGCGGGGTTTTGCGTTCTTTTCCCAGTTTTGCGAGCGTTACGTTACGGTCGTCACAATTTATTTGACAAGCGCGCGTTTTCTTAGCGGTTTTAGGGGACGGTATTGATAGAAATGAGATCTAGATCTCTATGATTTTTTTTCAGTTAGTAGAATCTATATAGAATTTTATAGAATTTTCGTCTGGACTCACTAAGCACGATGGTCACGAAAGGAACTACTGCGGAGCAATGAGATGTGTATGTTTTCCTTTTAGTTACGATTTTTTTTTTACGGATAGTGCTTTTCTCTATTTTTTTTCTTCGTTTGTTCTTTTTTTTTTGATTTACTTCCTAATTCTCGTTGTTTTCTGTAGTACTACGAATGACTTTAGCTGATTTTTGAGCTAAGTTGGATTGATAATACCTTTTCCGAAAGAGAGGATTTTTTTTTGATTTGAGATATATATATATTTTTTTAAAGACGGTTTTTCCTTGAATCGATTGCTTTAGGCCAACGCAACGTTGAAGAGGTGCGGTGGGTACGTCAAGATCTTTACGGCGAATGAGTGAAGGCTTTTCCTAGTCCCCTCGCCAACTATATAAGCAACTAAACCCCGCCCTCAGGGGGAGAGAGAGAATGGATGTTAGAGATTATATTTTTTGGGGGGGGGGGGAAGGAAAGAGACTGGGGAAGAATGCCAACAGAAAAAAAAATTTTTTTTTTTTTGAAGTGCAAGGTAACATTATTACTTGATGTAGCAAATTTCTCAATTATTGAAAATATATTCGTTAACTTGCGCGCAAATGAGCGGTCACTATTAAATGTACTTACGTTATATGCGAGGGTGACGCTGATACCTGGCCAGGCTTTTCCTACGCCATGAAGGACAATAAATAGGGGGAGACTTTGCTCCAGTCACATATTTTGTTTGTTTTCATGTAACCTCGCATTAAAAGGGCGTAGATGTGACATGCGCGAATAAAAAAATAAAAAAGTGTGGGTAAATATGATTGATGGAAAAAATTTTGAGCTCTTTTGCCGAGTTCCCAAAAAAAAAGGATGGAGAACCCGGTGCGGAACCTCCATGTAATATAATAATGATTGACCCCTGTTAGAGATTACTTAAGAATGACTTTGAAACAGTAACGACATTGTTGGACCTTTTTATATGGGCATTCTTCCCTATTTACAGTAACAACTTTCTCTTACTAAAGGTTTATTAACAAGAAGGAATACTAGGGGGCAGCACAGAGGGTGCAGGACAGAGTACATCAATACAGAACTAGGATGTGAAATAGAGTTTGAACTACATCAATAGAGACTTAGGAATATAGGGGAACTTGAAAATACAGAGAGCATATATATATAGAAGGATAGTGATGAAGAAATGGTATACACATAACATAAAGATAAAAATGAGTGGTTGATTATATGTCGCTGAGCCGGCCGGAGCCGGCTAGCTCGGTGCCTCTCTCTCCCCCTGAGGGCGGGGTTTAGTTGCTTATATAGTTGGCGAGGGGCGGGGCAAGAGTGCAGGGACCAATAGCGCATTACCGTTATTAGCGCTTTTCCTACAATAGCCCATTCTTGATATATGAACTTGAGCGCACGCCAGCTGGTGCTTTAGGGCGTATGTAAACAGTTGTGCGTCGCTCAAAATTTGATAGTAGTCACAGGTCCCTTCGAGCACATTCATTTCGGAAATCATTTTTCTTCTTTCGCTCTCGGACTGTGTTATGTAAAAATCCTCCATATCATCTACTTCCGATTGTAGCGATTCTAAGCCTGCTGTCACTCGTGCTAGGCAATATTTGAGAACAGTTACATTTTCATAACATCTTTTTTGGTGTTTTCTGTCAAAATCCAATGTTGGCTCAAAAACATTGTAAGGTTCGAACCTGTTGAGTAGACCTGCAAGCACTTGTGAGCACTGCAGAATAGCCTCTTCGTGGTGTTTGAGTGACATCCTTGGTGTCATTCTCAGACTGTTTTTTTTTTGGCTATTTTATCAGCCGTGATCGCGTCAATTTGCGGAGAGTGTATTGCCACTCCGAAAAAGATCACCTGTGCCCGTTGCAGGCAGAACACTGGCTTTTGGGAAGCTGGTCCCAAGGTCAGACTTGGCTGGCCTTCGCGCTGCTACTAGGAGCAAAGCGCTTGTTTTAGGGAACTTGGTCCCAAGGTTAGGCTAGGCTAACCCTTGTGCTGCTAGGAGCACTGTATCGGTCGTAATTTGGCCGATGCACCATAAAAGTGTGCTGACTTTACCACTCTTATGGTAAAGTCTAAGATCTGATGACTGACCAGTCTTATGGAAAGCCGGTAGTGGAGTTTGGTGGCTCCTGGTGTGTTACAGTACACATAAGCTAATAACAGCTTTATTGAGACATCAACATACCCTCATTCGGGTAGTGGTAGAATGCTGCTCCTAATAGGCGGAGCAAAGCGAGGTAATGCATATCAATACAAAGATATGACTTGAGGTCGCGAGTTGGTGACCTCAAGGCTACAAAGGAGTTTAAGTAAGGAGGAATTGATAAGATTGGAAGAGGTGCCGAATATATCGGCACACAGATGTATCGGTGGGTCCTTGGCCGTACTGTGGCCTGAGGCTAATTAGCGCCTGATTGGGAGTAATTCTCCTGTGTTATACAGAACACATGTGATGTAGTTTATGAACAGACGACGTGCACGTATTAGTGCAGTAGTAGAATGCTGGTGATTATAGGCGTGGCGAAGTAAGTTAACAATTTGGGCAGTAACGGTGCTCATATCACAGCAGGTCATGCTTATGCATGACCTTCGTGGTAATCATCAGAGGAGGTGAAAGAGGTGCCGATTCTATCGGCACACTGCCGCCGGCCAGGCATGAAGCAGAAAAGAGAGACAGCACATGGCAAAAACACATCAAACAATCTACTCCTTTTCGCAAATTCTTCTTCTTATCTGGATAGAGCAGTGGACGGTGGTGACCGGCACGTATTGCTTTGACTGTGTTGAGATCCGCGAAGTATGAGCGGACGTGGCGCCGGCAGGAGACAAATGATTGTAGAGAGTAGACTTCAATAAAGATGATGTGATTAGTAAATTGAATATGACAGGATGATATAGAGTTAAACTCTGGAATATATTCAGTGGGAGCGATCTTCTTGTTTGGAAGCGGAGCTAGCAAATCCTTGGAGACAGTTGTTTCTTCACTGATTGCCAGAGGCGTCATGACCTGGAAAGGCTCCTCGTTATGGGCAGAGTAGATCTTCTTACTGTATCGATCATCACTACTTTTCGACGCTTTGCGTCCTTCGGTCTTTTCTTCTGTCGAGTTGCTCTGCGATAAATTATTTGCTTCTATTTTCGTCGCACAGTAGCCATCAGCAAGGTTGAGAATGGCTGGTTCCGAGGACTTTTCAGGACTTTTTTGTTTTTTGTTCTGAGCGTATAATATGCCGTTCTCAGCACTGAAATTACTCCTGGAATCAGCATTAGGCTGTTCCTTAGTCGACTGGTCTGTGGCGGAAGTTTGCTCTTTGTTTTTGCTCCTCAGTAACGGAGCGAAATTCTTCCTGTTCTTCATTAGTGCTAGTTGTATCTCACATTCCATCATATAATCTTCTAAGGTGAAGAGGAAAGTTTCGGCATCACCAATAGTACGAAAAAAGCTTATCTCTTCCTCGTAGGCTTCCAACTCCTTCACCATTAGTTTCTTCAGTGCTTTCGAGCTCTCGCTTGTATAGCGCTCCTCTAGTGCATCGATTTTTGATTGTAGCGAATTTGTTCCTCTTTTGATTTCCTTGACACAAATCGCCAGCACGTCCAGGTTGTGAACGCACATCTTCTGTCGTTCCTGCTCATCTTCTGGAAATGTACTTTTCTTACCGTGAAAAGCGTGCTTCTGCATTAGCTTCGCAAGATCCTTGGTACATCCTCGCACTTGTTCTATGTGGGGAAGTGGAATCATTTCCCAGCGAAGTAGAATATTATCGGCCTTACTGATTTGGCCGATGCACCAAATGTATCGGTGGTTCCTTGGCCGTACTGTGGCCTGAGGCTAATTAGCGCCTGATTGGGAGTAATTCTCCTGTGTTATACAGAACACATGTGATGTAGTTTATGAACAGACGACGTGCACGTATTAGTGCAGTAGTAGAATGCTGGTGATTATAGGCGTGGCGAAGTAAGTTAACAATTTGGGCAGTAACGGTGCTCATATCACAGCAGGTCATGCTTATGCATGACCTTCGTGGTAATCATCAGAGGAGGTGAAAGAGGTGCCGATTCTATCGGCACAAGCATGAACGCCGAAGGGTATGATCATGTGTCCTGACAGCTTGAGAAGAGGAAAAGTACATGCAAGCAGAATGTGCTATTATTTTGCATGTGGTCCCTCTCCCCCCAGTCTTCCATCTCTTTGGAAAGTTTATCAAACGCGAAGTGTTTGGAGATAGTGCGCTCCAGTTGAAAAAACGGTGCTTTAATCGGAATGGCGTTGGAGCGCACCTGCAACTCCTCCCAGGTCCGAGCCCTTTTACGGGCGTTCGCTTTTGGATGACCTCTAATTTCACAATTTGGAGGCCTTTGAAGCGGGATTCCTGAGGTGGACAAAGAAGGAGTAGTGCTTTGCCTTCAGTGCAAAAACGGATAGCTAATTACCTTTAAAACAAACTTAACCATGTTGGAATATGACCATTTCACTTAAGTAGCCTAGTATCTTGAATCTTCAGAATTCGCTCAAACTTTGTCTACAGGGTGACATGCTAATTACGGATATGATACGAATATCATGTTATCACTATTATCAGATTACCCAACTACGACCTCCTCCCCTTTTGACTCCTTAACACGACCCCCCAGATGTGGCGTGCCACACCTCACGCTTGACCCTATGAACTTGCCAATCAACCGTACGCGAAACACGCTCGCGTCTCTTACAAGGAAGTCAGGTATCGTTCATTCTAGGACTAGGAGACGCGAGACCGCATTGCACACATTGTCTAAACAAGCCTAACCGTGTACTCAGCAGGTTCATACTTGCTATTTATGTTGTCGAGGTTTATTCACTCTTTGGAAACAGGGATGAACATGCTGAAACTTGTTAAGATAATGCCCGCAATGCGGTCCCGCGCGCCTAGTCGTAGAATCAAGACCTTATAATAACGGGCTAAGGGTTGTTTACGTGTTTTTGTGTGTGTGTCTGTGTGTGTGTCCGTCTGTTACGAAATTCGTAGAGCGTGTTCCATCCAGTGTTCTAAGCCCAAATTTTGCAAAGCGCATGCTCCCTTTATGAAAATCTAACATGCAAAAGCACGAGTAGATTCGTTGAGTGGATCCCTCAGAAATAGCGCGCCACACGGATCCACCTGGCTTCGGTACCGCAAAATTCGGTCCGTATCACCACGTTTTGCAAAGTCGTGGGTGAGTTTGGTTAGCAAATGTGCAAACGATGGACTTTAGCCCAAAAAGTGGTCAAAACTTCACTACAAACGAAAACGACGCCAAAAAGAATTTGTTTGCGTAAATGGTCAATTTGCCAAGGTTCTAGCCAAGCATTTCTGAAGATTTTCGCACAGAGATG